TTGCAGGCTTGTAGAAGCCACAAAAAATGGGTATCACATTTCTTTTATATTTGTAATATTGTGTGCGTGCCTTCAATGGCCCACGACTTTGATTAAATTTGGTTGTTGTGTCTAAACCTTAGAAAACGGCCCGTGACCACGGAAAAGAGAGTGAGCGCGACTCAAACCGGAAAGTTCTTGATCGGCGGTTTTTGGGGCGGAAAGAAACCGAATTTCGAGCCGAAAATTGTTTCCTGCGTAATTGGGCTCTCACGTGTAATGTACAAATAAAAACATTGGCGAGCATAAATACCCTGTCAGTGTCCCTTTAAGCCGTCTTTGACTATAAGTTGTTTGCTCACCGGTGGCGCATCGGAGAAATACGTGTGTATGCGAGGTCGTCCGACGAATATCGGACTGGAAATCTTCCTATTTCTATATGCGTCGGTTATTAACCTCGTAGCACCCGATCGGCTTACAAAATCGGACGTGAAGAAATGTCAGACTTTCAGTTCAAAGTTTTTCAGACAGAGTAAATCCGGCATTTATATCATTCTGTCAGAAACTTTCCCCTGCGGGTGCGAATCGGGGTTTTTAAGCTACGGCCGTGTATTGGGCGTAAATGTAGATATCTGGTTCACTCTAAAAATCGCGAACATGTCGGGTGAGCACGGCGTTTGTGGTCACACGCCGTAAGTTATCGTGCAGACAGTTGAAATAAACAATCCCGTCCGACAACATCAATCCAGGGAGTGTCCAAAATCAGGGAACTGCGACGTGATCGCTCCGAGGTATATATAGCGAAGCTGGATTGAAAGATTCTTTCAATGAACACATTCTAGTGGCCCAGTCGCTTCATAACTATCGGTACTTATTCAGGCTATTCATACTGCGACCTGACCAAGTATCCAGTCCGTATTTGCTTTGTTTTGTTTGCGTTTTTTTAGGCGGTCGATGAAATTTAACAGAATCATAAATTCTAAAATCCTCCCAGTTTTTTTACTCGCCTCATCGCGCGATATGAGGAAATCGGTATATGAAAGGCCACATCTGCGTTAGAATAAGATCGACTGCGGTGCAAACGCGCTTGTGGCCACCTACGCCGAGAAACGGCGCTCTGGCGCCATCTATCAGGTAGTCTTGAACCCATTCGATCCGTGTAAAACTCTAGACTGAAGGGTTTTGCGTTACTTGCCAGCTAAAATGTGAGTGATATTTATGCAAAGCTCCTGCTATTTATAGCCACAGTCACAATTATTTGAAGGTTCAAGTTCCTGGTGAAAGAGTATTGCGAAACAGTTTAATATCGGAAGTGTTTCAGGGCTACCCGACAGGTGGCGCTAGTAGGACAGAGTGAATATAGATTTCACATTTAAATATTCTAAGCTTAAATGGTAAAACAAAATGACTAGGTGGCGTAAGCTACCGCCCGATCCAAAGGGCTCAGCCGTATTCATCCATCCATCCATCCATGCGCGCTCATCCCCCTAGCGCCGTCTTTCCTGCACGGCATGGTGAGCCTGCTCCTCACGTGACTGAATTTGGCGAATAGAAGCGCCGCGCGTTTGAGGCGCGCGGCGCGCTCAAAATTTTGAGCGCGCTTCAAACGCGCGTTTGAGGCGCGCAACGCAACGTCTACTTTCCTGCAAAGCATTTGAGTCTGCTCCAAGTAGCGTACAGAAAAGCCACCGATACGGCCGTTTCACCGAAGTTGCAAGGGCTTCAGCGTACGTTCCCCTGCTTTTGCCTCCTCCTCCTCCTTTCCTGTTTTCTTAAAAAGAAGGAGTAAGAGCGCGCCGGCGAATGCGCGGCGCCGCTATTCGCTGAATTCAGTAACTTGAGGAGCAGAATCCCGTGCCGTGCAGGAAAGCCGGCGCTACGGGGATGAACGCAAAACTCTGACTCTACTCTCGTCGCAAGCGGTTACAGTCGTTTCCACACGCACTCGGCCTATTGAAACACCCATGTGAGACTCAGCCTTCGCACTCAAAACGCAGATGTCTGAACCACATTTAACCCTCGGTTGTCTGGCAAACTCGTCGGCGCCGGTTGTCGTCGGCGGCTGCCGTTCGCCTCCCATGGCTGCTCCTTTGCGGAATGTTGGCAGAAAACAGAGGTATACATGTCTACACGACACATACTGTGCCCTCGAGGAAGGCCAATGAAAAAAAGATAAAAACATTAACTTTCCCTTTACTTATAAGTCGCCACCCATGGAACATCCTAGGCCGTAATTTTTTTCTAAAACAATTGTGTCGTTCACTGTCCTCAGACCCTTTTGCCTTGAACCAAACGCAAGCTAGCGTTTAGAGAGATCAGGCTGGAGCCCTTGATAATTGAGTACCCATTAAAGTTAATCGAGTACTTCTTTTTACGACTCTTCGTTTTACCGCGTCCCTGGCATAGATGATCAGGGTAAGTTGATGGTTGTTCTGTGTGTCTAAGCTGATATCTAACAAAGATTTAAATGTACAAACCCTCTTAAAATTAACCATTTTGTGGCAATTTTTATATAATTTATTATTGTTCGGTTTGTCTTGGCACTGCAGTGCTTGTCTATGCTGTTTATTTCCCTAAGACGAATATCGTCCTCAGGTCGCATAGAAACAACCTATTTCTATTTCTTATGAAAGCGAAAGGTTGGTGATGATTTTCAACGGCTTTCAGTAAAAAGGGAAACCCTAATATGTCAACAACTTGTGCACTCTAAAAAAAAAAAAAAAAAAAAGACGTGTGTTTACTTTTCTGCACAACACCCTGAGAACCAATCACCGCACCTTACGGAGGCAGCTCAGGGAATGAGAATGCCGAAACATATGTTTAGACCAAAAAACCCAGTCTGAGTTGCGACATTAAGCAATGCAAAACGTCACGCTTATAATATCAGAACTCAGACTACATATTTTTGGTCTAAGCATACGTTTCGGCATCGTCATTCGCTGAGCTGCATCCGTAAGCTGCTGCGATTGGCTGCCCGAGTGTTGTGCGGGAAAGTAGGTGCACAGGCATTTTTTTTTAGTGTGTGGCGCTCACTTGTATTTATGTCCCCATCTTGGTACTTCACCTTCGAAGCATCGGGCTCACCATGCTGGGCTTGCTAGATCTTTGTATTGCAAATTTCGGCCTAAGTAAACCCTCTGCATCTTCAAAAATAGAAGCTCGAGGCGATCGGCATCCTTAATTCTGTGGTCTGAATCATATAAATTATGTGCAACGCTACGGAAACGTTTTTGTCACGCTCAGTATTACGACCGGTTGCCTTCAAACAACTATAAGCAGCGTCTTTCTAATCTGTAGTCCGCTTCACTTTAAAATATACTTCGGCGAGAGCTACAAGACTCGAACCCACAGCGTTGGCACACGCGAGACGTCGTGCACCTGGGGCATGCCCTTGAGCAAAGGCGCTCGCTCTTGTAGCCTTCGCAAAGTTAAAGAAAAAAGTGTTAGGTACGGTTTGACGAACCTCTCGGATCAGTTCGTTCGCCTGGCGCCCTATCAGCGAGGCGCCTAGGTGCACTTTTTTCCCGTACCTTTCATTATCTATAGAGGCGTCTTGTGACACCGTACAACGTGCCTTGCAAAGCTAGTGAAATACTCCGTTTTCATCAAAATATACTCAATCACTGAAATGAGAAGGAAAGGGAAATCTTTCAGTTGTTCCACTTCCCAGCGCGAACTTGCAGATATCTTCAATAATACTTTGGTGACAAGTGAGTTTCGAGACGCAGACAAAGAACGAAGGAAGGCAACGTGCGCGTGCTGGAGGCCAGGCACCAAAAAAAAACAAAAAAACGCCCTACGCTCTTTTTTTCTTTTCTTCTGTAGCTCTATTATGTTAGAAAATAAATAGAAAAAAAAAGTTTGCCCAAATAGTCACTGATTGGATTTTTAAACCTGTTAATAGAGGCATTCGCTTTCATACCTGTCCGTATTTTTTACTGGGATGATAAAGCAGCATATTAATCTTTCCAGTGTGTGCTATTATACAGGGTGATCCAAGGAGACGCCAGGCTCTTTAAATCGACCGCAAAATTCGGGTTCTTAACCTATCGCGCTACGACTTTGTGCAGCGTTGCCCACAGATGGTGCATTGTTCTTCTGTTGTAAAATTTGCAAAGAGCGAACTTACCTGAGAAAAAAGTAAAGAAAGAAAAAGTCTTAGCTCCTATGAAAATGTAGCGAAGCCACCGGTCTTCAAACAACACGCCGCCGTTTTGCACGGGACACAAGAGATAGCGCAAGCGGTCGCGACGCCAACTGCCGCCAACGAACGGCGCCGTGTGCTCGTTCGTTGGCGGCGTTCGTTGCGCCATCTCTTGTCTCCCGTGCGAAACGGCGCCGTGTTGTTTGAAGACCGGTGGCGTCGCTGCGTTTCCATAGGAGCTAAGCCTTTTTCTTTCTCTACTTTTCCCTCAGGTAAACTCGCTCTTTGCAAATTTTAGAAAAAAAAAAAAAAAAAACACCATTTGGGGGCAACGCTGCACAAAGTCGTAGCGCGATAGGTTAAGAAACCGAATTTTGCGGTCGATTGAAAGAACCTGGCCTCTCCTTGGAATCACCCTGTAGTAATAAAATATTCAGTAAGCACAATGTGAGCGGAAGGTAATTATGCGTAGTTTTGTTTCTTGGTTTTAATTATTTTCAACCAGAAAAACCACTCAATGGAGAGAATGACACAACCGTCTTTGTAACTGTGAACAGGTTGCTTTTCATTTTTTTATTTCAGTCGTAACAACCACACCACAAACAGTAACGAAAGTATAACTACATGAATCCGGGCTACGTAAAGCATGTTCAGATTCGGACGACATAAAAACTTGACAACAAGTCCAGAAGAAGACACTTCAAAGAAAGTAAATTGACGAATTGCACTCGCAGTGATATGTCGACTCTGCATTGGCTGTCATTCATTAAAAAAAAAGTCAGTCATACAACATTTACATCCAGCAACGCTTCCTCAATTGTCTCAACAGTTCGCATGTGTACCGCCTCTGTTGGTTTTCGCTCGGGGACCATCAATAGGCGTCGCATTCATAAAGCTAGGGCACCTCACTAACACCATAATAATTCAATGTATCGCCTACATTCGCAGTTGGCACTGATGTCTACACTCATCGTGAGACAATTGATTGTCCCGGCCTAATCACTACTCTGGTTACGCCATGAAAGACGGGCGCTTGGTAAGCCGCCGACGCTATCAGGGGCTGAGGAGGGGAGGGTGGGCCCACTGCCTTCCTGACCACCTGGACCGGCTGAAATCGCGCTCTTCCGTTCGGAAATCCCGGGCCGTTGGCAGAGGCGACGGACGGCCGCAGCGCTGGACCGCCCGCAGACTGCCTCTGTGGCACGTCGTAGAAAGTCAGGGGCTGCTCGTGAAAGGAGGGTGTCACTCTGTGTCCGGCGGGCCTCTGGTGGAACTGAATCGGGACCGCCCGTACTTCGACGATCGCTTGCTGTGGCCGTCTCCTGAACGGCGGAAATCTGGATTGAGCCGAACCCGCTGGCTGAAGTCCCTGTCTTGCCGAAACGGCCCTAGCTTGAGGAGCGAAAGGTGCGATATTGAAGACGCGCTGTTGCGGAGCGCGCAGCTGTCCCCCCGGGCCGATGACCGTCACGTGCAAATCTTGGAGCCTCTGAGCGGGTTGCGACCGGCGTGACCCGACAGGTGCCACTCTGTACACGGTTCGTCCCGGTGCGGACGGGAAGGAGCGCTGACCGTTGGGAATCGGCTGCACCGTTTGTCGGAATCCCCCCTGAACGGGTCGCGATCCTCGAGGAACAAACGAGGTCACTTTGAACACCTTGCCGCCTTGAGAATACGTCTGTCTGTCTGGAACGAAAGACGTGGCCGTATACGCGGGACTTCCAGGCACGGTGGCAGACACGCTTGGAACAAACGACTTGACCTTGTACAGTCCTTCACGTTTCTGGTCGCTTGACTCGGAACGCGGAACGTACGACCCGAACTGGTACGGCGAAGACAAGTCTGGGTTTAGTATGATCGTGGTTACTGGGCCCTTGTATCCCGGCGCTAGCGAAAAGTGTGGAGAAAAGCCCGGATTGTACGACGGCGGAGCGAACACCTGCTGGTTTGCTTGAGGCCCGGAGTTGGAAGGCGGCGATGGCTGTTGAGGCCGGACACGATTCTGCAGCCCCTTGTCGCCACCAGGAGCATTCTCATTTGCTGCGGCCTCTTGAGAAAGAATGTGCGGAAGAAGGACCTCAGCAGGTACCTTCTGCTTCGTTGTGTAGGAAACTTGACCCTGTGGGAATGTGGGCTTATTTGGGTTGACGTAGTCGTGTCTGAAGCTGACGAAATAAGGTGGTGCCGCCAGGGGTTGTTGTTGGCCCTTGGGGTTTTGCGATGGTGGCGAGAAGAAGATGCGAGTGTGAGGCTGACTGCCCTGGGAGTTCGTGAAAGCCGACCCCTGCGGCTGGCCCGAGGTTGCCAACTGAGCTACTTCTGGCGTTATGCTGGTTGGAGGTGGCGTGGGTGAGATAGTATGTTGCGGAAGTTGGTTGGGGAAGAACCTGGTCGCGTACGGACTTTGTAGCTTAAGAACGGTTGGTTTCGACGGTGTGTGCACTGAGAGTAAAGAATCCCCCAGCACCGTAGTGTAAGGAGCTGCCCCAACGGTAGCACCAGGTGCAGTGCCCAGAGGTGTTTTCTGGTGTTGGCTGTTGAATTGCTGACTGGCTTCCAGAGGCGTAGGGAGCAAGCCTGCACTAGAAACTAATTGCGCATTGTTTTGGCCAAGGGAAGCAGTCGTCGGGTTGGGCTGAACAGCACTAGGTTTAAGATTTTCTTCAGGAGGATTGGTCCCAGCAGGTTGTCCTAAGGGTCTAGGTTGGTCAGGAAGGTGTGTGCTCTGTGTGGTGCCACCATTACTCGCGGAAACCAAACCGTGATACAAAAGGCTCATGACAGGAATATTTGGACTTTCCGGACCACTGGAGGTTGTTCCTGAATTTTCGACTGTAGAAACCTGGTGTGATGTCTGGTCGTTCGAAGTTGTCGATGTTGGGGTACGTCCCTTCTCCGTGGAACCTTCCTGCGATGATACTGGAACGCTTGACGGCTCAGTTGCATACGTGACAAATGAAACTTTGGAGGTATCTGTTGGGGTACCCTCTGGTGAGCTTGTACTAGAGATTGTAGCGGGACTGTCATTTGATGTGCTAGATACATCGACCTTGGGTCTCGCGTCGTCCTTAAGCTCTGTCTTAATTGGTTCACTATCCTGAGTTGAATGAGGACCGTCGAAATTGATCTTCGTAACGACAACGGTGGAAATTGTGGCGGGTGTCTTCTCACCAGCCTGCCCATTTGGATTTTGCGGTTCTCCTGCAGCTGCATTTAGCAATGGTCCTGGTGTTTGTTTAGAGCTGCCTGGCTGTACTTCATTCTGCGGTATACTAATAACGGTATTCACACCTGAAATGCCTGGGGTTTCCGCCGGGCTGTTTTCAAATGAAGCCTCCGATGCTTTATTAATGACGGGAACAACTTCAATTGGTATTACCTCCGGTGCGATGACCTTGTTGATAGGTGGCACAATAACTTCCTGTCCTGAATTTACCTCAGAAGACGTATTAATAGGCGACGACATTTGTTCGGCTTCGACACTGACAGCAGCGGGAACCTGTAGTTCATCAAGAGCAACGGTAATTGTTCCTTTCTGATGTGTTTCTTTTAGTTCGGTTTGAATGGGATTACGAAGGATATCTGCTGTGGGTGCTGCTAAGGCTGGCTTTGGTTCCACGAGTTGGGGTATCTGGTCGGGTACAACGTTTGGAGGCTGTAGGCTCTTTTGGTCTACAACGGGTGTTGGCCTTGCTGACCCTGAGTTGTCTGGGGCAGGTCCTCCAAGCTGTAGACTCACCCCTCCAGCCGGTGGTACTCCTTGGGAAGCGGCGTTGTCCGGCACAGTACCGGCAGAGTGCAGGGTTGTGTTTTCTTCACGAGGAGGTTGTCCTGTTTCTGCCGCATTGTCGGACAAAGTGGCTGAAGGTCGTTGTGGTGCTTGACCTCCCACCGGTGCTAATGCAGTTGGATCTGAGTTGACTGGATTGGGGTTTGTAGGCTGTCCATCGTGCGACGGTCCTCCTGGAAGTGCATTGTCAGGCAAAAATCCTGCAGGCTGTAGGGTAACTTGTTCTCCAACTGGACGTGATGTTCCTGGCACCGTGATGGGTGATGAAGAGCCCGAAAACTGTTGGCGAACTTTTTCGTTTTCAGGCCCGAGTCCTGACGACCCTGCATTGTCTGGTAAGGTGCCGGCAGGTTGTTGACTTATTTCTCCTCCTAACAGGGGTACTTCTACTTGAACTGTGTTTTCTGGCAAAGTACCTACAGTCTGTTGGGTCCCTTGTCCTTCTATGGGGCGTAATTCTACTTGCAATGCGTTGCCAGGTGAAGCGCCTGGTGGTTGTTGGCGGGCTTGTCCTTCTACCAGCGGTAATACTGATGGGACTGTGCTGCCCAGCGAAGTTCCTGTAGTCTGTACGCTTACTTCAGTTTGTGGCAGCCCTTTTGGAGCTGCGTTTTCTGGCAAAGGTGCAGCAGGCTGCGGAGCCACTTGTTCGCCAATGGGACGGGGTCCTTCTGTCCCTTCATTGGACGGTGAAGTGCCTGATGGATCCGCCTGTTCTTCTACTGCCGATGCTCTTGATGGAACTACGTTATCTGGCAAAGTGCCTGTAGGCTGAAGGCTCGCTTCTTCATGCGGTAGTGGCGTTCCGAAAACTGGACTAACTGGGAAAGTTCCATCAGGTTGTAGGGTTCCTTGCTGTCCAACCGGAGGGGGCCCTGTTGGTACTGCCTCCCCTAGCAAAGTGCCCGAAGGTTGTTGGCGTGAAAGTCCTTCTGTCGGTGGCAATGCTGCTGGATTTGTGTTATCTGGCAACGTGCCTGCAGGCTGTATGCTCACTTCTGCGGCGGAAGGTATTCCTGAAACTACCTTTCCTGGCAAGTTGCCTCCAGAATATGGACTCAACTCTCCAACTGAAGTAAGTCCTGTTGGCACTTCAGTATTTGACAAAATGCTTGTGGGCTGCACACTCGCAAGTCCGCTAGTAGGTTGTCGTCCTACAGGCATTAAGCTTTCTTCTGCCGCTGGTTTTTGTGAGACGCCACTTGGGATGCTTCCGTCGTTTCTACCAACTAATTCCGGATTCTTAACAGCATTCGCAGGAACCACGTTTTCTTCTCCTTTTCCCTGTTCCGAAACCACATCAACCGAAAGCGTTTTTTGACTGGGAGTCACGGCACTCTCAGGGTATGGAGAACTCAAGTCGGAAACGTGCACAACTATAGTGTTTTGCGGTTTCTCACTACTTGCTTTGTCGTTGGTAACTGATGCCTCCAAGGTTTTTTCTGAAGTTACACTGCCATCAACAACGCCTGGCAGAGGTGTATGATGTAACGTACCATCCGAGGAAGAAGCATCATGTCCAGCGCCAGACTCTCCAACTGACTTTTGGCGCTGGGAATAGTGCGTGGTCGTCACACCGGCAGAAATTCCTGATACAGATTTCCCTTCGTCATGTGGTTCGCTTCCGGTCAGGGACACTACTTCGCTTCCGGATTGGGTAGAATCGCCTCGTGAACCGGTGATCTGTACCTGCTCAGTGCCACCGCCTGGCGATAGTTCTCTAAGTTGGCCTTCTTCCACTGATGGTGCACTTGATTCGTGGGCTGTAGCAAACGCGAACGGTGTCGCCGGGAGCACTGGAATAATTGGTTGACCTTGAGCTTGGCCCTGCCCTGGAAGAACTTCCGTCGCTGATTTTGCGTCTGGTGCTTCCTTATGATCCTTCTCGCTAGGGGTAACTGTAGATATTATGGGGGATACCAGAGAAGTTTGATCTCTTTCGTCAAAACCTCCAACTACTGTGGGTGATGCTAATGTCTTTGTAATTTCAGCATTCAGTGTTCCACTTGTGGTGACACCAGTTGACTGGCCTCGGCTAGAGATTCTTTGTCCGTAGTTGCCATCTTCGGACTTAGGTTCATCAATAAAAGCTGAAGAATCACGGAGCAGAGGATTTAGCTCAATGTTGCCGGTTCCAACAAAAGATGACGTGATAACTTGGCCGTCTGTGCTACCAAGCGAATTTTGTTGCAACTGCGGAGTAGGTTGGCCTTGCGCTTCAACTGTAATAGCTGAACCACGATGAACTCCGACCGATAGATTGTCCGGGTGGACAGAAGGCTTGTCCTCGAATCTAAGATTGGGAACGTTCTTCTGAGAATTAACGTCAGTGTTGCCGTTCACACCCTCTCCTTCTTTAGGTTCATTGCCCACAAAAGTGCTAAACATGTTACTAATTACGGTAAGGATGCTCTTTCCCGGTTCCAGTGTCGTGTTACTGGCGTGGCTCTCTGGCTTGTCCTCACCTCCCGCTTCTCTGTCATCTTCTTGACCAGAATCTTCCGCTGTTACTGAAGGCGCTCCGATATCACTCGAGGGCAGCCTCGCTGGACTGGTGTTAACGGTTTCATCTTCAATTTTAAACTCAGTAACGGAAGGCGTACCCTTAGCTAGAGAAAGCTGGCCTATGCCAACCTGTTTTCCTTCCTGGAAGGATAAACTTTCGACGCCATCGTTCCTAGGAGTGGAACCAGATACAACTTTTTCTGTGTCAACAGGCTGTGATGGACTGCCCTCCGTACCGAAATTATTTTCTTTCGGCAAATTCTCATCTCCATGGATTGTTACGTGAATGAAATCCTTGTCAGCGTTTTCCAACTTAATTGTGGGCTCTTCTTTTTTTGCGTTATCACTTCCTTCTTTAAAAGAAAGCTGAAGAGCACCCTCATTCTCTACCTGAACATTTTCACTAGTGCTATGATTGCTCTGAACACTGTCATCCGAAGAAAGCCGACTACTGCTAGAAGTTACGGGAAGGTTAAGATTTTTCTCATGGTTTGAGTCTCTTCCATCGGCTAAAACGACTTTATTACAGTCGTCCGTGGATTTTTCAGTTTTTATGTCATCAGTAGATGTTTGTATTGTTCCACTATCGTTAATGCTGCCGGAATGTTCGACGCTTTCTGTGTTTGATGAGCTACCAGCGGAACTTACTATACTAGTGGCGATTCCGCTAACATCTATCGCAGCATTTCCGGGTGACGCCGGTTTGTACACGACAGGCTTAAATATTCCACTCACGTCAATGGGCTTTTGCTCATGCGAAATTTCAATGTTCAGTCCTTGGGAATTCGTCTTGTCGCTACTGCTAGCGGGAGTGGCCACCTCAAACTCGTTTATGGGTAACTTCTTTTCTTTCGTAGTGCTGACTTCATCGGTACCAGCGTAAAACGATGTTGAACCCTCATCTCCAATGTTGACCTGTTGGTTTAGAGCATCTTTGCTGCCGTCATCAGTCTGTGGTGACGCGTTCTTGTCGGCCTCTTTAAGAGCGCTGTTAGCCACAAGCGGTTTACCAATTTCTTTTGAAACACTCGTAGTGTAGGTGATCCCAGATTTTTGATTCAGCAATCCAAAACTATCGGATACCCCCAAGGAGGTAGCAGCAACCTCGCCCGCTGGCTTGCTGTCACCATATGTTTCGACGAGCGGATTCAGTAGAGCTTTGGGCTTCTCGGGATACGTTTTTGTTTTAGCAGCCCGGTCTCGAAGAAAAGAAAGGATCTCATCTTCAGCGGCAACACGGGCGTCAACAGTAACATCCGCTCCTACTGGTGATTGACGTGTTTTTTCAGGTAGGCTGGAAGCCTCTTCATCTTGAACTTTTCCAGACTGATTCTCACTGGCTTGATTTTTTGTAGCTGCAGCAGATTTGGCATCCGAAGAGGAGCTTACTGGGGATGCTCCGCTGTTAAACTGTTCAGTTGTCCCTTGGGCTCCAGCGCTGAAGATTCCACTTGGGCTGACATCTCCTTCGGACAAACTAAGGACTGCATCCCTGCCTGCGTCGCCTGCGCTGTCGGTCACAGGAAGGGTTCCAGCCGAAGAGTATTCAGCAGATGCCTTTGTAACGGGCTGGCTTAAACTTCCATGCGCTGATCCTTGCACCTCGGTTGCATTGAGCTGACGCCTGTCACCGGCTGAAACGATTTTGACAACTCTAAATATTTTCCTTGGAGTTGTATTGCCTAGTTCATCCCTTTGATTGTCGCTAGATGGCTTCACGCCTTGACTGGACAATACATTTTGGCCGGCGTTAGTTTTTAGAAGTGCAAGAATTTCTTCTTCTGCTGCAGCCCTGGAACTGCTACCGGACGAAAAGGTTTCCGGCGAGAAACCATCAGCAGATGAAGATGTGTCAGGCTGATCTTGTTTTCCAGACGTCGCTTGCTGCGCTTCAAAAGAAATTGTGGCCACTTGGGGTATATGATTTGGCCTTTCTTCGTTTCCTGGTCCGTCGCTAGGCTTGCTTTCTGGTGGGTTAGCAGATCGATCAGGTACTATGTTCTGTGCAGCATTGTTTTTCAGAGGAGTTTGGAATTTGTTTTCACCTGCCGAACGGATATCGGTGACGACTGGGATGGCCTCTTTTAGGATCTGACCACCATTCGTCGTGACTCCTTCTGATGAAGACGTGGGTTGGCCCTGTTTGAAGCCGCCTTCAATGTCTTGCTGCTTGCTAGATGTGTCTACAACTGCAGCTACTTCAAAGTTTGGAGATTGCCCGACGTAGGAGGTTTTATACGAGATCGGTTTCACGTCTTGCGAAGAGAACCTGATGACTCCACCGCTATTTCTTAGAAAAGCAAGAATTTCATCTTCGGCAGCACTTCGAATATCGCTGCTTGCACTTTCGCCTGTGTTTACAGCGTTGCTCTGTAGATTTGGCCCTGCGCCCGACGTCGTTACACGGTGTTCATCCTGAGGAAGCCTCCCGTTTTTAGCGTTTAGATTTTCCCCGGATGGTCCACCCTGCGTAATTGCAACGTTTCCTGAAGAAACGGCCGGCCGAACTGGAGAACTTTGATGAGTTTGCGTCTTCCCATTAAGCGTTTCA